CAAAAAAGCGCCAGGGTGTGACGGGATTTCAAACCGTGCACTAAAAAACTTCCCGAACAAAGCCATCGTTTTTTTAACCAATATAATCAACGCAATTTTAAGACTTCACTACTTCCCTAATAACTGGAAAAAAGCGGACGTTATAATGATTAAATACCAGGCAAGGATCCAAAATTCCCACAGAATTACAGGCCTATTAGCTTATTACCTGCAATGAGCAAAATAGCAGAAAGAGTAATATTAAAGCGACTCAAAGAAGAAACGGAAATACTAAATGTTATCCCCGATGAACAATTCGGATTTAGAGAAAGACACTCCACGGAATTACAGGTGTTAAGGTTAGTAGAGGGAATCACGCAGGGATTCAATACTAACAGGTCAACTGGAGTGGTCTTTCTAGACGTCAGCAAGGCTTTCGATAGAGTCTGGCACGCAGGATTAATTTACAAACTTAAAGACTACGGGTACACAGGAGCAATGACAAAACTCCTCAAGTCGTACTTAGGCGGAAGGCAGTTCCGTGTCAAGATAGGTTCCGCCCTGTCTAGATACGCAACTCCGGAAGCTGGAGTGCCGCAGGGGGCTGTTCTGTCACCGCTCTTGTATACAATCTTCACAGCAGATATACCACAGACAAACAACACCACGACATCAATGTACGCCGACGACACAGCGATCGCTGCCAGAAGTACCAACACAGGTATGATATGCCGATACCTGCAAGAAGCAGCCACAGAAATCGAGGACTGGAGCATCAAGTGGAAGGTGAAGATTAACCCTGACAAGAGTCAGGCAGTACTATTTAAAAAACGACGACACACCCCAACTGGGGAAATACAAATGGACGGACGAAACATACCATGGACAAACACTGCGAAATACCTCGGAGTGCAACTGGACCAAGGACTAACATTCACACAACACACAACAAACATAAGGGCAAGAGCAACCGCGATTAGAAGTAACCTTTACAGCGTCATAGGACGACGCAGTAAATTACTATTGAAGACCAAACTAAGAGTGATAAGATCCATCATCACACCTGTTTTGACATACGCTTCTGTAGCATGGGGACACACGTGCAGAACAAACAGGAAGAAAATACAAGCACAACAGAATATAAGTCTCAGAGTGGCTGCGAACGCACCCTGGTACGTTCGTAACCGCTACCTGTTCAGAGATCTAGAAACCACCCCGGTTTTAGAGATCATGAACAACAGAGCAGAACACATTTTCAGAGACTTACAAGAACACCCTAATCGCGAGTTGAGAGAACTGACAAGTTACGAAAGAGAAGACTACAGGAGACATGCGCGACCCAGAAAACAACTGGAGTACGCAAACGACGACAACTAAGAGTAATTCTGTGGGAATGCGCTAGATTTTAATTAAGTAGGCCAAACAAAAAAACAAAAAATCCATTTCACCATCATCATCATCACCTTCACCCCTCACCAAAAAAAAAAAAAAAAAAATATATATATATATATAATAGTTTTTAAGTTCGGTCATTCGGTGAAAATCGTACTCAGAACCATGTAAGGTGTATTTATGTGAGTTTTAGGTACCATCAGATTATAAAGCGACGACTTCCTCCTCCTGCAAGTTTCTCCCCTTTGAAAGTTCCAGCACTGGGATTGAAAAGGGTAGTATCTTATGCGGGAATAAAACGCGAAACAATATACAATACAACAGACGACAACGACGCACTATGTTGGCTCAACAGGTCACCACCAGAGGGGTCCTGATGAGCACTCATAGCGCAGCGGGCAACAGCACACAAATCGCGAATGTATGAAAGAGAGAGTGAACGCATAAGAGTTTTAGGTCCTCAACCGACTCTTACTAAATGACGATAACGCCTCAACCTTCAACGCTCAATCGAAGGTATGGGGTGCCAATCAATTGCTATTGACATGTGGACCAAGCAGCGGATGAAAAAGCTTGGGGGTGGATGGAAGGGTTTAGTAGGTTTCGATCCAGGTTACCAGGATGGGAACTTATTCGACTCGGGCCAGTAATCAGTGTGTGTGTGTGGCAATCACACTCTATTAGAGACTGGAGTCGAGAATTTCCATTTATTGCTGAAGAGTCCTAATAAGGATGACTTTCTCCTTAGTGCCCTTATAGTGGGCAAAATCAAAGGCAGATTCGCAGATTGTTGGAAATATTTTTTATCTCTATTTTCTTTCGAGGTTATTCAATAATCATTGGTTACTTATGAACCTCTACTAAAGATACCTATAAAATATTTTGCTGAATATCTGAATTCTATATCCATATTGGATATCCACAAAATATATTCTGTGGATATCTCTGGGATTTCTTGTATTGTCTGGAAGATACTTATTAGATATTTTGCTGAATATCCATAGGATATCTTCTATATTCTGGATATAGACGGACATTTGGATATCCATATTAGATCCACGGAATATTTCTGATATCCTGTGGATATATTGGATATCCACAAAAGATATTCTGTGGATATCTCTGGGGTTTGGTGTGTTGTCTGGGGTACTAATTATGTAATATCGTGTAATATTGTAATTCAAATTTCACATTACTATAAAGTTTCAAAATTCCCTACTTCGGTAGGGTCAGATAAAAATTGAATATATTATATTAATAAAAACTGTCAAAGTATTACTTCTACAAATCTGTATTTCAATTAATAAGAATACATCTAAATATAACCAATATTGTTAAAATAAAAGCACAAATTCTTTATAATTCCAAAATACCATAGAGTACCCAGACCTCAGTCGAAGCATTCGTTTATCTAGGTATAAACCCTTTGCGCGAAGAGTAACACTTGCCAAAGACACGGGGTACCACTTGATTTGCATCCACGAGCGTGACACAATTCTTTAACAATTGAAGCCCTTGGTGTAAAAAGGATCCAAGCCACAATTTGTCGTGAAGTGACTGTTTTAGCTCAAAACATTTGTTAACGAGGATTTTACTAGCCACATACAAATTATTTTACCTCTAATCCGAAAGATGTGCTATTTTTCGTAATATTTATATTTAAATAATGTTTCTAATTATATTTGACAGATTTAAAACAAATTAAAAATTTAATTTCCCAAAACTTACTTAATATGGCATGTAACCAACCTTATTACGCCAAGGTTTTCAATTTTTTCAATAATAAAAAAATTGTTTAATCCGGGCCCGACTTTTCCCTCGAATCTAACAGAGATAGCACCATTCCGTCTTGCTTGGTTCTCGACCGCCAGATCAAAGACGTCGACACGGAGTTGTGGAGCTGTATTGTATAAGCTGTGCTAGTACCAAAGGTACCATCGTGTGGAGGGCATATTTGTCTGTAACCGTCATGATTGGCAATAGTCAGTAATCGCCCATCATGGTCGATCGTGTAAGGTACCATTTGGGAAGGCGAGACCAGGGTTGCCACCTGTCCTTTTTTTCAAACAAAATGTTCTTGCGACTTTTTAAAGCTTAAAATGTCCTTTTTTACGGCATATGTCCTGTTTTACTCTTTAAATTCTTTGAAAGAGACCTGGCGTGTACAAAAATATACAAGCTGAGAACCTTTTTTTTTAGAAGCTCGGTAGAAGGACGAGTACTTTTTTGTGACATAGTCGACCTTTTTTTATTTTTTTAGAAGTTCAGTAGAAGTTTTTGTATACCGGATCCCCTATCGGCATCATAGTCCTTTTTGTACTTTTTAAAAAGGTGGCAACCCCAAGACCGAGTAAAGCGACAACGAAGAAGACCAAAAACGGTCTCTTCACGTCTGAATACAAGTAATTATATGAAACACATGTGGGAAGGCGCCGGTGCAACGTACGACAGCACTTTTAGCACGGTAGGATTTGAGGCTTGCTGCCTGTAGGTTGAAGTCGGTCTCGGTCTCGTCTTCCCAAATGTTACCTTTAAAGTCAAAGATTATGGTATAAACATATCGCTGATCTCGTCCCTTTAAATAGGAGCGTGCACGGAGTTGCCACTGTGATCCGTACATATTTAATTCATCATGAATACTGTTTTTGATGTAATAGAAAAGATCCCAAAATGAAACATCCCCTAATCAGACAGGGACGGAGCTTTATGGGAAAACGACCAAAGATATAAAAAATTCGTTTGGGAGGAATACGTAGGTTACAGACGGCTACAATTTAAAATTTGTTAGATGTATACAGGATGTCCCACATAAGAGAAAATATACAAAGTTATATTATTTTTAATGGAACACCCTGTTTTTTATTTTAGAATTAAAAACTACATCAAAAATAATGTCAGTTAACTAAAGGTTCCCTATTACTATTAGTTTTCGATTTATTTGAATTTTTAAGGAAAAAAAGTCTCCCAGAAATTAATTGTTTACTCTTGTTTGAATAATTTTTAATGAACTAATTTTTTTCTTATGTGGGACATCCTGTATACATCTAACAAATTTTAAATTGTAGCCGTCTGTAACCTACGTATTCCTCCCAAACGAATTTTTTATATCTTTGGTCGTTTTCCCATAAAGCTCCGTCCCGTTGAGCGTGAGCCACCCTGTATAACCATAAGAATTTAATAAACTCTTATCACTCTTATCATTTAAATAATTGCTAAATGCTATAAAGAAACATATATTTTTTAATAAAAGTAGAGTGACCATATTTTTTTGAACCGGTAGTGGACGTGAAGACTATTTTTTAGCTCCTCAACTCAAAGATAGAAAGATAAACAAAAGTCATGTATAGGTCGTAGCCAAATTGTAAAATCCGCCGTTTTATAAAATGTCTACTAGATGACTTTTTTTAGCTCCCCAAAAGAGCTCACCACGGAAGGGAGGGGGGTAAATGGCCCCCTGGAGCCGTCCTTGCTTTATAGACATTTGAATGATATAAAAATAGGATATTAGAAAATTAAATCACATAATAAAGAATATAAATAAACTGTATTTTTATAATTCTTTATAAATAACTAATATAAAAAGATATAGAAATAACATTGTTAAAATGGTTAAAAGGTACTAGAGGATACAAAAAAAGTACTGAGAGCAATATCAATATTTATGAGATAAAGTTATCCTTAAGGAATTCCCGGATACGCCAACGTCATAGAGAGATCTGTTTACTAATAACTTCCAAAAAATAATTAACCATTTAACAATAACAAAACATTTTAAGCAGCAACATCAAAGAATCTATCAATAATTGCTGAAACTTCATCAGGCTTGTGTTTAATATATTTTTCATGATTTTTTGTGAAATGAACTCCCGCATACCTAAAAAAATATTGAAATATTATCTTAAGACGTATTTTACAACAAAATTAAAATATTTAAGAATGTGACTTACTTATTATAGAAGGCATTATATCGTGGAATGATAAGTTCCTTATTATCTCTTTTAATACTTTCTCTTAATTCAATATCTGGGATGGAATAACCTCTCTGGACCTTCGAAATTTCTTCTATTTCTTTATTAAAGCCCTAAAATAAGTTCGGAGTTTGGAACAGTTGAAATAAATGTAGATCATCTTACGCGAATATTACAGAATGTGAAGTAACGATGATTTTGCACGAGTTTTAACGAATTCCAGAGTAAACTCGTATATAAATATATTATAATCAAAAAGGTAAAGGGCCCAAATATTATTTGTACGTGGATAGGCTTAAGAGGTAAAGCGTCCTAATATTTTTACATCAGTAGGCCTAAATATTTTTATATAAATAGTTAATGGATCAAATAGTTTGATATAGATAGGCTTAAGAGACAAAGGGACTAAATCTTTTTATACAGACAGGTTTATAGTATAAAAACAAAAAATATTACATTGGCAGGCGTAAGGGGTAAAAGAATTAAATATTTTTACATGAGCAGGTTTAAGAGGTATAGGGTCAAAATATGTTTAAACGTACAGACTTAGGGATAGAGAAACCAACTATTTTTATATGTTTATGCATGCTTAAGAGATGCAGGGACCGACTATTTTTACGGGAAGATTTAAGGAGTAAACTTTTATGTTAGGAATTTGCCCGTGGGTCCTCGGTCCAGATAAAGTGGGAACAACACCAATTTAGCATTGTTTTATAAATAATTTGTTGAATACATAAAAAAAGATGTATGAAATAAATTTAACTTACAGCAAATTTTTCTTTAAGTACTGCCCTTTCTTTATCCTTGAGCTTATCACTGTGAAAATTTAATGATGGATCATCACAACTTATATAATTCAAGAGTTTATTCCAGCTAAAACAGTAATATTTACGAAGTTAATAAAATTAAAAGAAAAATTGAGACACTACCTTTGAGAATAAGTCTTTTTATTTTCTTGAATTGAAGTGTAATAATAATCTTGACAGTTTGGTTCTGATATCAAATATATTTCGATTAAATTAGACCTTTGAAGTGATTTTAGGACATAATTATTATTATTTAAACGGAACAAAGACCTCAAAGCTGTATCTCCATATTGTTCACTTTTACTTATTAATGTATGGTTGAGTTGCGCCAAAACTTTTTCTAAAAAAAAAATATAAATAAATTAAATTCAAAATGGCCCTAATAAATATTCCAAAAAACCAGCGCTAATGCTTACTTATATACAGTCCTAACAGAGCCTTGCATTTATCAGAAAATTTCAATTTGTTCAGTTGTCTGGAATAATTCTGATCCTGTTCAAGTACTATGCCAATAGTATCAATATAATCAAGTAATTGCTCTAAAAACATTATGACATTGCTCGTCATTTCATGAACAGTACCGTCACTAGGTAGCTGGGTTGTTACAGAATCAGAACGAATACTGTCCACAAAATCTTCTAAAGCTTTCGCACCCTACAAAGAGTTAGTTATAATTAAAAAAATAGTAGTTTGTGCAACAAGAGTGGATATGATGGCCATATCGCACGCCGTAGGCGGAGTGCTCAATCGTCGGAGCTTAATATTTAGTCTTTAGGATTGCCGACTGTCACGTAATAAAAGATATGTAGTGCGTGCAAGTCACTACATGCGCATTCAAAGTAAAAGAGATCACAAAAATTAAATTTAACATTCATTAAATTCAGCTAAAACACCTTTTAATTAAGGAAGTCACTTACAAAATGTATTAAAAGGCAGCTAAAAAAATTCTTCCCATAATAATAATTAAAATATCCTAATATTATTAAAAATTAATATAACTTATAGTAGTACTCCAGTAGAAAACTAACGTAGAACGCTTATTGATGTTGGTAGCCGGCTTTAAAGATAATCAATTATTATGAAAACAATATAACCATCCACACTATAAAAAATACAATTATTTATAATACAAATAACACAATTATTCTCGCAAACGTTACCTACATGGAGGAAGGATTATTAAGAGTTGCCGTTCTTTGAAGAAATATGGCAACAGGTTTGCTTGCAGCGCCACCGGTAAAGGATTTGTCCAACTATTTCTCAGTCGGTAATATAGATACCTGCATATTTTATTTTATTTAAAAATTAGCGGGATTTTGTTTGTAGCTCTACTTTAATTAGTATAACTAAAATTTTGCATTTTTATTGGCATTTTTTACAACACAGACAAGGTGCAAGATGTAACAAAATGCCAAACAAAATGTAAAATTTTATGACCCATAATTTTAGGAAGGGTAAAATAATGTAATATAAAATAAAATTGTATTATCTATTATATCATTAAAACTAATTTATAATAAATTTTCTAAATAAACAATATTTTAATAAAACAACTAAAACTTTTTGTAAACTTGGGTAGGTAACAAAACACATTAAGGAGAACCATCCATATAATCTGAAACAGAAAAAATTCAAAGTAGTATTTTAACTTCATATCATTTTGAATCTCTTTTTTCTTTTAGACATTGTCACAGTTTTATACTTTCATTAGGTATATTTTATAATTAATAATGGTAGTCCCTTCATCTTTTAATTAGATGTAGTACTTTTATTAAAAAAACAGATGTCTGCGGGATCAAGCTTTGAGGTCCTTCTTTGATTCGCAAATTTTACTTTGCTGTTTTCTAATTATAAAATAGAGTTTTTTCTCCCTTGGAGCTAACCATTCACTGGATTGATTTAAAAATCCAAGAGCTAATTATTGTTTTTTAGGTAATAATTATATTTCATTGGATGAAATTTTAATCGAATGTAACTTTCTTTTCACTGGTAATTTGTTTGACGGTATGATAACAATATTACTTTAGTATTACTCTTTACTGTTAATTTAGCTTTCAAGGGTACCAAAGGTAAAGCCAATTTACAGTCTTGTAACCTATAAATGGTTTTTCGCAAGTGGAATGATGAAGTTTATGCGGCATTATTTAGTTCCTTGCTTAATATCGGAAGGAAAAAAATGTGTTCTTAAAATGTACAGCATAAATTGGACAGTACCCAGACAGCACACCAAATCCTTTGGATATCTACTGAACATCCCAATATCCACTGAATGTCCAGTCCATGGTGGATATCTATTTTATATCCATGAAATGTAATTTATAGACATGCAAATGTCCATAAATAATAGTAATTATATAGCAAATTATTAAAAAATTACGCCATTGTGCTCGCCATTGTGGCTAATAGTACCGTTCAGATATTTAAAATTAATTTTTTTAAGGTGTATTCAATATCCCATGGACATCCACATATATCAAAGTCTTAGCGCGGACGCAAACCATCGTGGATATTTACTAGATGTAATTTTTGATTTTGCTTCCTAAGTATAGATGGCGATACCACTTTCGTATCTACTCATGCTCAACCCGCCATAATTGAGTTGATCGAAAAATTTTTCGCATTAAGACTCTATTAGAGACTGTAGTCGAGAATTTCCATTTATTGCTGAAGAGTCCTAATAAGGATGACTTTTTCCTTAGTGGGCAAACTCAAAGGCAGATTGTTGGAAATATTTTTTATCTCTATTTTCTTTCGACGTTATTCAATAATGTAATCATTTGGTTACTTATGAATGTCTACTAAAGATACCTATAAAATATTTTGCTGAATATCTCCTGGGATATAGACGGACATTTGGTTGGATATCCAAAAAATATATTCTGTGTATATCTCTGGGATTTCTTGTATTGTCTGGAAGATACTAATTAGATATTTTGCTGAATATCCATAGGATATCTTCTATATTCTGGATATAGACGGACATTTGGATATCCATATTAGATCCACGGAATATTTCTGATATCCTGTGGATATATTGGATATCCATAAAAGATATTCTGTGGATATCTCTGGGATTTGGTGTGTTGTCTGGGTAAATTGTACTATTTACCTTTATACAAACAACGCTATTACAATTAGATATTATGAATTTATTACGAACAGGACCTGCTAAACACATGTTAAAACATCAAAATATCTTTGCTTAATTTTAAATTTAACATGTTTAACTAAAACTAAGATTAAATAAAAGTAAAAGTACTTACCACGTTTTATTCAGCAACCATAACCATATTGTTTTGTTCAGTTTTGTTATTGTATCGGTTCGAACGGGTGACAATCCCAAAGTCAGATTTACATTGTACAAATAATTGATTAATTCATGTTTTTCAAATAATTGTAGTATTTATATAAATATATAATTTTAAAACAATACTTACCGTGTATTACTTTTGTTATTAAGCGAAATATATTTGAATTATTCAATTATTCAGTGTACTTTAAATATCATTTTATTATTGTAAAACGGACTGATATGCGCGGATGTGTTGCGCACTAACCTGCTGATATAACGCGCATATGTTATAAGCCCCCCTGGTTACCTAGTAATCCGGACACAATGAAATGAAAAATACCCACCTAAATAGACCTAAATAGACAATCCTAGTCCCCTAAATCTTATCCAAATTAACCCCGATTTTCTCGCTAAACGAAGCTAATTAATAATAAAATGATACTTGTAACAAAATCATGTTGTTGGAGTTTTCCCCTGGAGCACATGATACACTAAATAACTCGTTGATTATAGGTTTGTTCCAACATAAACCAAATCAGTTTGCGTACTGTCGGGATTCTGCGCAGTCTAGAATTTGTGTTCCAACAAACCTTAGACTCGAAACTGTACAAAACCATAGTGTTCCAACACAACCAAAATTAATCACAAACCGATTTGTGTACTGTCAAATCAGTTCCTGGGTCTGAATAGGAACGAATTGTCAAGACATGCGCTAAGCCGCAATAAACTGAACATTTCGTGATTGTAATTATATTATTTGTATCTATTGTCTCTGACAGTTCTGATTTGTATTTGTTAATCGAGCTTAGTCTTCATAGTTTTTGTTCATGATCATTTATTTTATTTTGTGGTTTATTATTGTAATAATGCGTCTGTTGAATTTAAAAAATGTGTTCCAACATAATCGAGTTCCGAGTTTAGTCCCAATCCCCGACCAGTACCTGACAAGTTGTCAATTACTAGTCATCGACAGATTGTCAACAATAAGTTTTGGACTGGTTTATGTATTGTTCCAAGATCGTTGTTGGAACAAACCTTATTAAAAGTGGGAGGAATGTTCGTTAAAATCATTGTTCTAGAAACAAGTTTCAGAACGACGTTTCCGCGGTTAAGAACGATAATCGTAATATCTAAAAGAAAATACAATTATCGCTAAAATCTACGCAAGAAGATAAAGGTAAGATACTTGGTACGCATTCGTCGGGCCACTCTACAGATAACTAGATTTCACGCGAACGTCCCCGGGAGCGTATTTCCATAGTATACTACTGTGCAGAGCAGGCCGTTGTCTGTACCGTGGTAGGCTATGTACCATCTTTTAAACTTACGCCACATTACAATGTGTACTGCGATGCAGACATCGCTTTGTTCTGTAAAGTAGTATAATATGTAGTCGCCAATGTCATATTTATAAACTACAAACTCTACTCGATTGCAGAACTTCGAAATTATTCGTTGTAGGTACGTATACTTCCTTTACTTGGAATTAGCAGTACCTATTTTATAACAGGTAAATGAAGTATAAATGTTTATTCCCAATAATGCAATTTTATTACAATAAACATTGAAATAAATATTATAAAATATGTTAAAATAAATATACTTAATATAATATAAATTATTTATTCATTATATTATAAAATAATATTAGGTTAAACGTTTATTAGTGTTTAAAAGTACATTTTGTAATAATTATTATCTATTGTATTTGTGGCACCGACTTTAACAGTTCCCTATAACTAAAAACTACAAACATTAATTTAGTAATATTAAAATTTTCTGATGGGTGCACATAATGGTTACTACAACACCCTTGTGATTCATTACAGCACGATCTCTGTAAGTGCTAAGTAAAGAGTTAGGTAATTAATAGTTTACATATTAGAAATAGAAAAACATCATGATGCATTTTAATTTTTAATCAAATAAAACAACTTTATAATGGTTTATCGGAGATATGAAAGAGCTCGTGATTACCTATACTGGTTGTGGTTACCTTATAGGTAACAGAATATATCATTTTAATTATACTGTGAATATAAAGAATTCGAGTCACCTTATAGATAAGAGTATTGTTCAAAAATGACAAGCATTTTTCAACAGATACTTCAGTTACTCTCTTTATGATCCACCCCGTATAAATAATGTAACGTAATACTGTATTCGCTCCGTGCGAAGTCATGGAAAGGGAAGCAAAAGCGATACTAGCGCTAGCTGCGGATAATTCATGCATTTTAGGGCGATATTTTGTAATTTTGGCATATCAAATACACGTATACATTTTACTTTTTTTTTCAAAAAAGTAGGTAAAAACAATGCAATAAGCAACCGGAGTTGTTGTGTTGAAAATTGTACAAATACTAGCAAAAAAAAAACAGTGAAACTTATATAAAAAATTTCAGTAGCAAAGTGGAAATTAAATCAAAGAAATAAATGGATAGGTGTACAATAAGAAGAAAAATTACCTTTATTTTTGTAATAACAGTAATGCTGGAAATAGTAGACATCAGAAACTTGAAAGGTTTTAAATAAACAATAAATTATCATTTTACGATGTTCTTTGATATCCCTTTATTCTTAAATGTTCATTCAGCAAGGACTAGATTTCAAGATTTCTGCTTCTGATTATTATATGTGGCTGGAATGCAATTTTGTGACTTACTGATAGGAAACCAGTTTTAATCATTCATTCTATGTTTTCTTTCGAAAAAAATTGAAAATATAAATAACAATCCTTCTGTTTATATATTTTAACTTCACGCTAATTATTTAAAGATATTTTTTTAGTTTGACAGATAAGTTAATTCTTCAAAGACAACTCATTAGACCTAGGCAACTTTTCATACATTTTCCAGTAAATACTGTTGCCTGCCTATATTTTATTATTGATTATACATAATTTTCTTTCATTTAAGCGATAAAAATATATAATAATAATAAATTAATGTTTTACTTGTTTTACAAATCCATACACTTTCATTAAAACTAACATATATACTTTTTAATTACGAATTCTGTTAAAAATTGTATTTGTCAGTATACGCAGAAATAGTCCATTAGTACCAAAACGAATTGGCGCTGCTGTCGCGCACGGAGCGAATAATAAACATAAGAACAACAATATATTTCATTATTCAATCTGTAGCTTGCATTACCTAATTTAAAAATCTCACAAAATAAAAATCATGTTTCAATTACATACATAATAAACTAAAATCAAAGCCAACCCTGGTAATGGCAGGAATGTAGTTTAATGTATTTCAAATTTCAGAGAAAGATTCAGTTAGCAGCAAACACCTGCCGACAGTTAGCAGCTCGTTAGCTCTTTCACTTTATGGAAAATTCCGAGTAAATAGGTTTGTTCCAACAACGATCAGAAACCCGTCATTGCCACCAGGATTCTGCTCAGTTTATTATTAGGACCCCAAATTATATACTACACAGAATCCTGGTGCCAATAATCGGTGTTGGAACAAACCTAATAAATGTAAGCTCAAATTCGTTCCAGTCGCAGACGTATTTCACTTGCACTCGCATAGGCGCCAACCGGGTGAGCTGAACCCGCCACTTTCTCTAAACCATTCACAAGATAGTGTCAAACGTACGAATTTTCTCTAAACCAATCACAACAATGTCACGTACAAACTTTAACACAACCAGACGATACACGTCTTCACATGTTGAGATCCATTTCAACCCCCAAATAAGCAACAACTAATTTTAATCTCTGAGCGAACGATCACATTAAGTGATGTTCCATATTATGTATCCACAGTATCACTTGCCGCGTGCGGCAAGATTACTGCGGACTTGTCGTTCCAAATTTATAACCGCGTGCGACCACGCGACAAAACCACGACAATGGGCGTTAGGGCATTTAAATACATATACACTTTGCCACGCGTGATGCCTGGCGCACGACATGTTGCGCTGGTGGGCTTTCCCTCTTAGAATAACATAGAAAGATGTTTCAAACCAGCATGTTTATATTCAATTATGTAACAGTATCACTTAAATGTAATGTAAAGTACAAAGTTTATAAAGTTAAAATAAACCAGTTGACAGAAGCAATCACTTTAAATTCTACATTCCAAGACAATTTATCCAGCAATTTATCACTAAGACTGCAAGATTTCATCGAAAATACAGTCCAGGATCTGCCCTGTACACAGGAAGAAACCCTTACGTAGGCAGCGAAAATTTAAGAGAAAAAATCACCGCTAGCCATCGACAAGTATATCTGGACAGAAGTCGTAGTGTATAGAAAATAATTCAACTACGCTGTTGATATCTTTTACTACTGGAGTGCGTTTAGAAACCTCGCAGGACGCGTCTGGACCACATACTTATAATAGGGTCAGACGCGCCGTGTGAGGTTTCTAAACGGACTCCTGTTTCAAAATATAGCAAAATGCGCGGTCACCTTATAGATAACAGTATATCCCCTTTTAATTTTATTTGAAGAATATAAAGAAAATAGGTCACCTTATTAGGCATTCCAACGACCTGTCAAACAATAGGTGCTAGTTGGAAGTTCTCGTATATCTAAGGGGGTAGCGACACAGTCTTGCATCTTGGACGCTATTTTTATTCGAAATAGTAGTCGCCAAGACTGCCAATTTGTGAAGAAATTTATAAGCGGGTTTTTTAAATATTATTTTTATTGTGTTTGACATAAAATATTTAACTGTAATCCATTATTCATGATTTTACATATAGTAGATAGAATATATCGTATGTCGCAACCCTTAGATATACCAAACCTTCCCACTGGCAATTCATTTGCTTGGAATGCCTAATAGATAACATTATATCTGTCCTTTTTTCTAACTTGATTCAAAGATGATACAAAAGTTTGTAACCCGTTTCTACATAAAACCGCGGAATTCATACTAACATTTGTATCAGAAAGAGAATGCTCGCGACTCGCGTCCATAACGACGTTAGGTTGTGTATTTACTCCTGACTTTAACCCTAACGCGCATCTTCTTCTGTTTTATATAGGCACCGCACACCGAGCTATCTAAAAGTAAGCTGGCGCCACAGACTCGAGAAACTAGGACGCTATTCGTATCGAGAATTAAAAATTGCAGTACAATATTCAAGCAAAAATTTAATAAAATTAAAATATCAACCCGCGGTTGTTGGGTTTTAGTGAACTGTATTCATTTAAACTTTAACAATATTAAAAAAAAACGTACGTGTCAATTTCAATATGACAGAATGATTTGTTTAGTTAAAAGTCAACTATCATTGAAACACAAATTACATCACACTAATACCTTTAGCGTATTGTACGCTTCAACAGACGTTATTTATTTCATAGCCTTTAGAAACATTTTTTCTAGATCACTTCATATTAAAAGCACGGCATAAAAAACAATCGGCAGGCCCACTCTCCGCTGATCGCATACAAATATTATACTAAGAAAATTTGACCTTGACGACGCCATTCGGGGGTCTTAGTCAGGGTCGGATTAAAGCGTATATAAAGATTTTGTAATAAAATAAGGTATTGATAGGCAATTTTTTGAACGTCCTTTGAATTTGGACCGATGTAGGGTTTACACAATTACCATCTGGAGGAAGGATAATTAAGAGTTGCAGATTCCTCACAGAAATTTGGCAGCATGTTTACCTTCAGCGACATATGGAATAGTTTTGTGCAATTAATACTCAGTCGGTAATATAGAAAGATGTAATGCTATTTTAGCTTGAAAATTGGCGGGCTTTTGAATTTACTTCGACAAAATATAAGAATTTTACATTTTTAATAGCACTGCTTAAAACACATGATTTTGATTGTGATGACTCATTACTAATTTACTACTTATAATTTCTTTAATGGCTAATTAAGATTTTCTTGCTTTTTGTAATGAAAATACTTTAGATTTATCAAGATTATAAAGCTTTGTTATTCGCATATCTAGAATAATTATCAAAATGAATATCAGAATTAAATTTTTGTTAAGCATTTCAATATTTGGGAATAACACAATTACGATTAATATAATTTTTTTTTTTCAGAAAAAAAAATTATTCCATACAAAAAATTCTGCTTGTTGAAGAAAATTACAAGAAAAATTTTCCTTTTAAAGTTATGAAGGAAAACCGAAAGGAAAACTGTGACTTTTCTTCGTAAAATCAATAAGGTAATACAGATTTTTTCCTTTTGTCAATTTTAAGTTTCTTCATTTATTAAGACCATGTACACCTGACCTAACATATTAATATAGTAAACCTATTTTTTCGTTAAACAGAATTTTTTTATGACTTTTTCCTTAAAATAAAAATAAAGATTTTCCATTTTGTCAACTCCATACGGGAGATGTTTAAAATATAACATTTTACTTTAAATCTTAATAATATACCTACATAAGTAAATATAAATTGACGCTAAACTTTACGTGACGTTAACTAGGCACCTACCTACATCTTACTAATAGCTTTATAACTGACAAACTGACTCATAAACTAGGATTTTTTTAAAAGTATACCATACATACCTAATAAGATCTTTAAGAAACCGAAAAAATCTTTTAATACAGTTTATTCATATAGTTTTTTGCTGCACAACTTTGCCCAGACATAGTAAAACGATTAAAAGTTAACAAATTAACACTGGAAAACAACTACTATATAAAAAGTATCAAAAAATATCTATAATTCTAAAAAAATAACAATAACTACATAATACAAACATCACAAACAAAATAAATTTAAGATACACGCTACTGATTCCGTGCTACTGCAACTTGTTTGTTTTTGTCGATATAAACGACGACAGTGACGCCACTGGCTTGATTGAGAGGTTGGACCCCAAAATGGCGGTGTGCGCGTAGATGTGCGCGTAGCGTTGCCGCCAAGACAAGTTAGCCTGCCGATTGTTTATTATGCCGTATTAAAAGCTTATCAACATTTATCACGTGACATTTGTTCCTGTTTTTAGAAATGACAGCTTTTTGGACACTTACCGTAACATGAAGCATTTGTAATATCTGATCGAATTTTTGCTTGACATTTAAATCATAATCCTCAACCGTTCTTTCAAATTCCGGTTTCAAGTTTCGCAACTGTTTGAAAATTGGAAAAATAACTAGAACAGTTGCAAAATCGTGTCTCTGGATGCATTTTTTTGCCCTTGCCACAATGTTCTACAATCATAAAAATTGTAAATGCGCTGGAAGTGATATAAATTAATATTAACCACATTTTCAAAAAAACTCAAAAATAACAAAGATTCAGAATTAAAAAATTTAAGTCTAGGAATGTGCGTCAGAACATAGGCTGGTAAGTATAATTATGTTTTATCTTGAGAATTAGGTATTGTACCTGTGAGTTTATGTAAATGACACAGAATAATTATGATAACAATGAACTCGAATATATCTTGTTTATTTACAAGACGCCAATGAACAAACAGGAAGAATTAATTGCAAGAATAGAGCAGGCTCCAGCAACAATTAAAGGAAAACTTATTTCCCTATTACTCGTCATTACGAAACAGTGACTATGTCGAGCAGAGCGTTGTTAAAGGGAATGGTAATATACTTAATCACATTTAAGTTGACGCATTTTAGAAAAAATTAATGCAAGCTTCTTATTTTTGAGTTTTTATTAAAAAATAACTTAGGAATCACCCTGTTTATGACATTTTGTCATTACCTCGCCATCTTGAACAATAGTATCCATGGCTTCTCTTACAATCAATTCAAATACACGCGGTTGGTGAGCTGGGGTGATAATATCTTTCATTAAAATTTGTTCAAACTGCATTAATCGATGTAAAGCTATAACAGATATTAAATAATTTTCCATTTCTTGTTCATTGTCTAGTTCTTCGCCAGTATACGACGTATCTAAAAATATAATCAAACTCTAATAATAACTATTGAATACATGTTCAGTCTTTCGTTTGTTTATTACTTTGCCATTAGAATCTAGACAAAATAAGAATTAAGTTGTTTTTTATAACCAACAAAAAAAAACTGTTTAGAAAAAACAGTTACAAGTATACAAAGGAAAAATGATTGATGTAAACTATATTTATTTTTACATTTTTTAGTAATAGGTTAGAAAACATAATAAAAATTTAATGTCAGAACATAAATGTAGAATCGTCAACATTAAGGAGTCAAACAACAAATTCAGCACCGATTAAAAACAAATAAACTGTAATTAGCAGCACGGTATTGATAAATTTAATAATAATTGATGGTAGGTAGATTAGTGGTGTTAAATCAAGGTCGCTTGTTAGTTCTGTAAATCTAAATTAATTATTTTCATCTTTAGGTCTCTTTGGAAGCAAAAATATTATTTTTTTACTACTAACATGAGAAATTACCATTATTTACTCCATTCCTCAAATGAGAAGTAATATTTTTTACCCTAGGAAAATAATTAATGAAATTGAATTCCATTAGTTTCATTTTGTTAATTTGACAACTAAACTCCCAGACTACTTGATATTTCGAAATATTTGAAAAAGAAGTAAGAAATAACTGGGTTTATCAAAATCAAATCAAATGTGGTAATATATCAGTCTGTAGTAAAAAAAATTTATATATACTTCGGTTGAGAAGGCCATTATAAACTTCGCAGATTATATCCTGAGGCGCATGATAAATAATAGCTTACTTCTCAACCTAAGTGTATCATGTAGGTACTATTATATTATGACAAACCTAAATGAGAAGCTCGTCTTGTGCCCAATGACAGACCAGTCGAATGTTCCAAAGAAAAAAGCATTTTATTGGCTTTCCTTTCAAATACTTGACCAATTCTTCTTGTTGATGGTCGTCTGGAGGTCTCGTGTCTATTTTGAAATTTTGTTTTCTAAAATCATATCAATACACATTTTGATTAACCATTAAATACATTCTAGAAGACAAATATAGAAGACAATAGAATAGGCAAAAATATACCAACCATCATGGGTGAACTAGTGGTACCATGCACGCTACCACCACTAACAGATTTCTGGTGGTTTCTTAACATTGTCAGTGACCTCTGTAAGACGCTACCTCTGACTTTTCCATAAACTGTTAGATATTCATCTCGACCATTATCTAAAAGCCATCTGGCTATCTTAATTAACTGAGATTTTGGGTCGTCAGGTATTTGCTTAGGAGAAACTTTAACTTCTTTGCCGGTTGAGTCTAAATAATATTATTTGTAAGATTATGTGTTTAGCTCCTTGTTTATACATAATAAAGAATGTGTGGAATAATTTGAATATTTATGAACAATATGAAGAGCTATGGTCTAAAATTCGACCCATGCAACGAAGATTATAGTAACTCATTTTTGAGAATTTTTGAGTTACCGTTATCCAGCGCATATATTTGCCAAAAGCTTTGACCTAAATAAGTATCATATTTCTAAACGAAGAGGTAAAGCAAATCAGAAATACCACCATAAAATATAGTACAACATTTTAGGTCATAAAATACTACGAATACTATATTATATTTTCTCAAAACTAGAAATAATTACTATAGTCTTCATTGCATGTGTCGAATTATACACTGAATTTGCCAGAACTCATAGTGGAGATATTAAAAATATAACGATACCTTTTAATTACACTTTTTCAAAATATAGCAATAAAGGAGATACCTTCAATACATTAAAAAAATTACGCTGTGCTCTGTATGGTATATCAGACACAATTCTATACTATTTCAAAGCCTACTTGACGTAGGTTTTACATGACTTTTACAAAAAACTAGAATGAAGATATATAATGCTTGGCATTTTATATTATAATCAGATTTCTTACAGAATCAATAACCCTCTTCCAGGCAGACTATGCGTTGTACACGGACGACTCCAAAACTGAAAAAGGAGTAGGAGCGGGAGTTTTCAGCCAGAGGCCTAGAGTTGACATATCAATAAACCTAGGCTCTCTGGCCACGATCTTCCAAGCAGAAATGATTGCTATAGAATTGGGAGCGAGAGAGTTGATCAATTTTCTCCCTGCAAACAAGACTATAAAAATCTTTTTAGGTAGCCAGGCCCTGAGCTCCAATCGAGTTGACTCAAAACTGGTTTGGAACTGTATAAATACCCTAGAGTGTCTCGGTGCCCGGAACAAAGTTACTTTGATCTGGGTTCCGGGACACAGTGGTGTGGAGGGCAACGAAAAAGCCGACGCACTTGCTAAAAGAGGAACCAAATATGTGTTCATAGGACCAAAACCATTCCTGGGCATTGCAAAAAGCACTGCCAAAGGAATTATCTCAAAATGGACGGAGGATGCAACACTCACGAACTGGAAAGATACCCCAGGGCTAACCCATTCGAAGGCGTTTATAACCAACCCTTCCATGAACGCCTCTGCTCAGATCCGAGAAAATATTCCACTACTTATATTCCCATGGTAATAGGTTATGCAATTCTCGAACGTGTCGGAATAGACATTCCCATGGAAATAGTAGTTTCACGTATGTCTGATATTAAGTTCACGAATATTTCGAAACAACCAATAACATTAAAGATATTTTAAAATTTACTGTTGGCAATATTTGTATTTGTTGTGGTTTTTGGGTATCCGATTACCTGCCGAGCCTCCCTGCTCCAGCGCGCCGTGCCGAGCAATCGCTATCATGATCGTGGAATAAGTGAAAATATTCGATTACGTATAATAATTAAAACTTTTCGAGTTATTCTTAGGTTTTCTTTTCTCATGTTGAAAAAAGAAAAGGTAGCTTTTGTATGGAAGAGCAACGAAAGTTTTGAGAAACTAAGGACCGATTCCACCGTTGTGTTAAACGAAGTTTAAAGTGAAATTTTTACATTAACAATGTCATTTTAATCTCCGTTTAACACAACGGTGGAATCGGCCCTAAGAAATTCTTTCATTAACGAAAATAATAAAATTTTCGAAAAGGTCTTATTAAATTTACTACACTCAATTTGTGTTATTTGCCAGTCCCTTAGCAGCTTCCATAATTTCTAAATGATTTAGGAAAATCAGTTTATACAGTTTCTCAGTGAAAGAGAATTAAAAATAATATACCTACATAAATAAAATAATATCAATCTATAAATACGCCAAAAAAATGTTTTAACTACAATTTCACCAAAAATCCAAGATATCCAATAATCTTTGGTTATGTCTTAGACTTTCGCATGGTCTTTCGTCAAATTTTCGACTTTAATGCGCAAACTCTAGTACAATTCCCATTGGAAAACATAATTTCCACTGCTCGTAAGCAGGGGAATATTTTCCCATACTTCTCATTGGAAAATATTCCACCGATTATGTCGAGAATACGAAAACTGAATTCCCATGGGAAAATTTTATTTTCCCATGGGAATAAAAGTCGAGAATTGACCCCCTGGAAAGAACCAGGTTCCAGATCTTCGGATTTACCCGACTAGAGCCTACCGACTTTAAAGAAGTCTCACCCAATTCAACCATGACCTTTATCAAAAGGTGTGGTTTGTACGGTGAACTATAAGTTAGTCATGAGCCACAATAGACCCAGTGGAAGGCGATCAGATCATCCCACTCATTTTCAACCTAACCTAACCCTACAGAATCAATAAACTTCATTTCCCTATAGAGCTTGATTTTTTCTGAAGATTTCTTGAACATATCGTCTTTTGTTTCAGTTAGAATTTTTTTTAATAATTCAACCCCCCTTAACCCCGCCCCATTTTTATTCATATCAAATCTTACAGTCAACAATTGTATACCTTATGAGGAGGCAGCAGCTCCCGGTCCACAAATGACATTATGTTTGATTTTTTAAATATATGTATATTTTATGGTTTTTGGAACCCGCATGGTTCAAATTGCATATGACGATGTTGCCAAATTTTCATTTTTTCCTAATAAAAAAAATAGAAGGCCATGAATTGGAAATTAATATTGTGTGGTGCATATTGTCAGATTGGTAAAAAAATTTGCCATCTAATGGTGAAATGGGGCCATTAACTCGATTGGTAAAGTAGCTTTTATTTTATTAGGCTAATAGAATATTTTTCTGTTCATGGCCTTCTACTTCTAAAAACAAAACAAAAAATGTTAGAGGAAAAATGAAAATTTGGTATATGTAATTAGAACCGTAGATACAAAAAACCATTAAATATACAGTGATCAATTTTAAAAATCGAATTTAATGGTATTCAATTTGAAATTATACCTAGCAGGTTTGTCTCAAATTTGAACCAAATCGCTTCATAAATAAAAAAAAATTAACATGGCCCTGGTCTCATTATCACCCGGTACAACCTGACGCCAAGAAATACTCATTTTACTTATAATACATACAACAATTCTAGATATTCTATCAATAACTACAAAAATGTTTGTAGAAAATATATCTAATCTGATTTAGGTACCTAAAATGTCTTCATTAAAAACATTAAGGAAATATATTTATACCCGATATAAACCATTATAAGACAACTGCTATGAATAAAGTTATTTTTAACACGTGAATATTGGTTTGTTTAAGAGCTCATTTCAGAATAAACATAATACCTATGAAAGTAAAATTTCTGTTAATTATCAATCTTAGTTGTTCTAACCTATTTTTTAGTATAAGAATCTAATTTTAGAAACGTAACTAAAACAATTTGGAAAATTTCTTTAAAATAAAAATTGTTTAAAAGAAAATACACTTCACTCATTACAGATCAGTGGCAATATTGTTCTCTTCCTATTCAGAAGCACAGGCCATTAACCTTGCAGTGTGCCGTTGATAATCTTAAATATTTTTTGGTGTTTTTGAGGTAAGCATTTCAAATTGTTATTAATACCAAATAGCGCTTTTTTTAATCACTTTGACACCTTGTTCCAATCTTTTATAAAAACAGGATATCATAAATATTGAGAAAAAATTCTATTTAGTATGGATCAAAATGTTACTACACTTTTATCAGAATGTACCTTCTCTCAAAGATGTTTTATCCTAGATGTTACAGAGGCTTTTTGGTAGAAATTCCAAAATTGCTTATTTTATTCAAATTTAAAAAAGTAACTGCTACTACAGATTGATTCCTTTTATACTATTCACTTAGGGTGAGATTACAGAACGTCTGCAACTTTGCAGATCTGCAAATATGGCGGCAACTTTGAAAATCTGCAAATATGACTGACTTACACATGCAAGTATCAAGTTTTCGTATTCCAAATTTGGGTTTAGTGTTGTTGGGGGTAATAAACCACAATAAATATTGCGAATTTGCAGATATTTTTTGGAATACTTACATTTGTAAGTCCGCCATATTTGCAAAGTTGCAGACGTTCTGTAATCTCACCCTTAGTCTTTTATCATTTAAATTTAATTTTTTTTCTCAACAAGTCTAAAAATGTGTATATTTACTATTATTTTTGAGACATCTTAACAAATAAAATAAAAATAGATTAAAAATACTATTAGGTTGGTATTTATTATTAAAATGCTAAGTACATTATGACAAAAATTAATGCAATAATAGGCACATCAGAAACAAATATGAAAGATCCAAAATTTATACATTCATTACACACCATTAATAATTTATTTAACTTACCGTCTATGTTTATCAAATCTAATAATACTACTGGCAAAATTGGAGTGTTATATTTATCCAAAATCGTTTTGAATTCCGCATTGAGTTTATCACTACCTTTGTGGAAGAAAGAAGTCTATAAATAAAAATATTAATGCTTAAAATACTTTTAATTATTTTTAGCAAAACAATAGTGAATTTTAGCAGATAAATAAAGGTAATCTTAATATGGTAAATAACAATTTCATTAATTTATTGAACATCAGTAGGATTTTAAGTACACTAATGATCTAATTATCGTGAGTAAAATTTAAGATGCTGGTTGTATCATTCTTTCTGTATATATTGATACATCTGAAGTAGTTACCACATGGCTTTAACGAATGCTTCTATTACATCTTATAATTCTTATACAAATCAATGACTTAGATTTAAATTTAGGAAAACAGAAACATTCCATATTACTTAAAGCTTTTAATACAAACAACACAAAACTGTCCCAATTTACTTTTGAAAATTGATTTAATGTGTGTATATTAATTAGGTTATAATTTATATTATTTTTGTAACTTGGTGCATACTATTCAAATAAAATATTTATTTATATAGACCCTACTGGGTAACAAAACCATAAGTGTATATTCTAAAACTACAAGTGCAGAAAAAATAAGTTTTATGAACTTTTCATTACAGATAAGTCCAACAAATAAATATGAATTTATTAATTAAAAAACCTGGAAGGATGCATTACACTGTCCCAAAAACATACCGATCAATTAGTCTGACATCGTTTTCAAAGATACATTGGAAAGACTAGGCGATAGTTTCATAAAGGATGCGGTGATTACAACAGCACCACTACACACAAATTAACATACAAATACAACCCAAGCCAACATACAAATACACCCAGGGCCCTTTACCTAGTTGCTGGCCAGATAGAGAAATCCCTGGACAATAAAGATTCCGACTTGGGTGTTTTCAAAAACATAAGAAGGTGCTTTTGATAAAACCACCTTCCCCAAGATAATACACTCACTAACCAATAGGAATGTTCCATAGCTGGTTAGTGGGTGGATACATAACATGTTTTTAAAGCGAGTAGTAAACATAAGTGTAGAAGATGTGAATATAAGAGGCTTGGTTGCAAGGGTATGTCCACAGGGAGGGGTGCTATCACCTCTACTGTGGAAAATGGTCCTCGAAACCCTCATCAGCCGCCTCAAAATTAACAGTGGTGCAAGGGTCATTCACTGTCTATCAATCCCAAGAAGACAGAAATGGTCCTTTTCACAAGGAAAAGGATGAAAATGGAATTAAAACCACCAGACTTCCTAAACACAAAACTAAACTTTACAACAGAGGTCTCACGTTTGACAGCACATTAACATGGAACTCACACTTAGAAAACAAAGTCAAAACAGCATACGGTGCTTAAGAACAATGCAGCCGAACCATGAGGTGAACCTGAGGTTTCTCCCCCAGTAGTCATCACATGCACTTAACAAGGCCATCACAAAACCTTTGCTAACATATGCAGCTATGCAGCAGTTGTTTGGGTACTGAAAACCCAAAAATTAACAGCTATCCTCAAATTAGAACAAATTCAAAGAACAACATGTCTCAACATAACAGGGGCCATGAAAACCACACCAACCTGTCATTCTCAGTCTCACTCCCTTTGATATTTACATCAAGGAGGTTGCTCTGATGACAATGACATACCTCCACATAGTTGGAATAGAACCTGATGTAGGATCTGGTGAGGCCAAATGTCGCTTTTGGCGGGAGGCGCTTGATACGCTCCCACTTCTTCAAGTGAACATGGACTCCTTCTCACCAAAATATATCTTTCATAAGCCATATAAATTTATAATAGAACAAATAGAAGAGCCGGAAGTGGCAGGTACGATTCATATCTACACCGACAGTTCTAAAACAAAACAAGGCTCAAGATGTGGAATATACTCCAGATTCTTAAACCTAAACATAAAATAAGCTGTGAGCAATAAGCGCCAGTGTAGTTCAAAGCGAACTCATGGGAATTCTCAAAGCAGTAAAATAAATCACCAGAAACAATACCACTGGAAGAAACATGCTAATCTATACAGATAGCAGACAAGCACTATTCACCCTGAACAGACCGTGAATTTACTCAGGTTTAGTGTCACGAAACTTTGGCCAAAGTATCCATCAACAATGTGGTCACCTTAAGATGGATCATAGGTCACACCACATCTTGCTGATTTGCCAGCCAAGAAGGCAGCCAACCAAACACTTTTTGGACCTGGGCCCTCTATTGAACTGACAACATTGGTAGTGACAGACCTAATTAAAGAACATTCCCTTGTGAAATTCAACGAAAGATGGGATGAAACAAGAAACTGCAGAGTTGCCAGGGAGCTTTTAAGTTATCCTGACAATAGTGCAGCAAACAAATACTTAACTAGGACCAGACAGAATCTGCGTCTGATCACAGGCATTCTGACTGGTCATTGCCAAGTAAGGAGGCATCTCTATATCATGGGGCTGTCAGAATACGCATTCTGCAGGGGTGTGAACAAGAAGATGAGACCATCTATCATATACTCTACGATTGCAAGACGCTCTCATTTATTAGAAGATTTGTGTTCGGCCAGTATCAGCTAACACCGGCCAATATAAGAGAAGCACCTCTTGGTGACATTGTCAACTACAATAAATTTGTAGGCTGGCTCAAGAGCTAGGAGGTGCCTACCACCTTGGGAGTTTGCACAATGGGCCTAGTGAGGTCTAAGCGCCATGAGGTAACCCACCCTTCACACGTTTTAGATACAGATACGTATTTATAACTGTCCCCTAGAAAATTTTGAGTTCAAATTCACAGTTTTATCGCTCTCAAATCAATTATTTTTCTTATTTTGAATTGGCCGGATTCGCAGGGGTCCAGACCCCCTAAAACCCCCATATATGTCGGTGTAAAAAAGTATCAATTTTTAAAACCCAGAAATGAAATATTTCAACACTTTTAATTTGTGGATGGATGGCTAAATGGTTGAAGCCTGGAACTTGTTTGTAGCTCTGGGAAACATTAATGGTTCCTGCACATAATGAATCAAATAAAGAGAATTAGAAAACCCTTCTTTTTTTTTAAATTAATGAACATTTATTATTTATTTGACCAACAATGAAAAATTATAAAAAATAACTCACCAGAAATGATAATTTATTAAACAATGGCATTCATTATATGTGACAATACATTTTTAAAAACAAGTTCACTCATCAGTTACAAATGTAACTAAATCCTTATTGCTTGCCAACAAAAAATATTAGACATAATAATATGAAAAATTTTTGAAGTTCCAAAAGACTGAGTGAATTTTTTAGTGAACTATATTGAATGTTATAATATGATATTATATCATTTTTCTTTAAATGGAATCTTACCACATTGATTAATTCAACACTTTGAGGTATGTTCTTTTCAAAATACTTTTGAGCTTCCGACAATCGTTCTAGAGCATTTATGTATGATTGAAGATCAGTCCCCCCTTCACCAGGGCCTCTTTCGATGATATGTTCAACATCACTAGACACCTCATAGTGACTAATTACATTATCTAATAAATGTAAAGTAGGTTCGATATCTAAAAAACATTAATTGATGTATAAAAAGCAAGTAGAAAAATATGTAAGCTTACTGCACTGGGCTCTTCTTAGAGTTTCAGTTTCATTATAAACAGGTAAAATCGTTTCTTCCAGACGAGACAATCGTTGCTCAAAAGTATTTAATATATTACCAATTCCTTCAGTTAGTTGGGCACTTTTAGACAATCTTTCTTGTAACAGTTGGAGATTAGCTTGTTCCTGGAAGAACAAACATAAACAAAATAATTCGGACGATAAACAATATTTACCTTTTTCAATTTGTTTGATATTTCTATTTTTCTTTCCTCGATTACATTCATTTTTATCTATTTTCTATCATACTCCCACAATATTTACACTATTTTGACGTTTACTTTGTATAACCTCACTTTCCTGGAGTTTGACATTTGAGGTAGCTTTTTGCAAAAAATATTAGGGGCAATCGGGGCAATTATTCTACAGATTATGCATAAAGGTGCGTTTTGCAAGCAGCAATTGTGGCGATGATCGCTGAGCGATAATCGCACAACGATAATAGCGGACTACTGCTAGGCGATCTTTACATACTTCCGTTTTCCTATGAGCGATAATAACAATAAACGCTAGTGAGTTTATCTCCTCGCGTGATCATAGGGGAAATATGCTCGCAGTTGTAAACGATTATTCAACGCGATTATCGCTCAGCGATCATCGCCACAATCGCTGCTTGCAAAATGCACCTTAAAAAAGAAAGAATGTCCTAATCTGTTTTAAGAATCAGAATGGAAGTTTTTTCTGATTAAAATTGACAAAAAACAAAATAATGTTTCACATGTATTTGGAGAAAATTAGTCTACTTTCCTGCTAAATTCTTAATTTATCTTGATGACATAGTAAATATAAGTCTAGTTAGTTATATGGTTATATTATTACGACTTACGACTATAATCTTATCAAAACTACCATCGGTACATTTTTAATTAGAAATGTCAAATGAAAATATGAAATTCTCACAAACTTTAAAAAAAAAGTGAGATTATCTCGGTTCGATTTAGAATTTGTTTTGGTATCCGTGAAAAATTGTAATTCTATAAAAATATGTTCTCAATGTGCTGCAATAAATGAGTTCGATATTACTATGAAGACTAGAGATAAGAAGACGAATCGGCATACTCAAAATACGGCCCCAAAAAACGCATGCTAATTGAGCTTCTATAATTAACCGCATGTGCGCTGGTACTGCATACCTTGTTCAAAATACATGGCTGCTTATGGGAATTATACATAATTTTGTCAAAATAATAAAAATAAACTTGTTTACAGCTAAATAAAGCACAGAACATACTGTTGTATTTATTTCTAATAAGTCTTGCATGTTTTAATTGATAAATTATTTAATTTTATCTATATAAAATACAAAATAGGTATGTATGACCAAATTCGAAAAGGTTTCTTAATTGCTGAAATTTGATAAGTACAATTTTGTGGCAATTTTTTTTTATTTGAACCAATGTATAGTTTTAAAAGTAAAATAAAACACAACAGATTTTTTATTGTTGTAATACAAGTATAAAAGGAGATTTGGGAATGGTATTACATCATTCTTTAATTTCAGCTTTCCCCTTTTTATTCTGCTAACAGTACCATCAGTAAAAATAGTCTCATAATATTTGATAATATCTTCTAAAAAGTATAGAACAGCATCTTTTATAGAAAGTGCTTTATCGGCACTAGGGACGATATATATATGCTGCCACTGTTCTAAACGTTTAGTATCCTATAAAAAACATTTACAATTACACAATTGGAGTTAAAAAAAATAACAGTAGCAACTCTTTATCTAACATTAAGACTATAAAAAATAAATTTTCTTTTCTAGTAAGTTAAATTTAATGCATAATTATTGTTGTTTGTAAGTCAGCATCTATAACTGTAAAATTTTATATTATAGAAACTTATAATAAAATAAACTACACTTCGTAAGATACATATTGTGACTAGTTTACAATAAATATTATATTTAGACATGAATACATTATTTTACCTACATTAAAAGCTTTAAAAATACATTAAATTGATTTCTTCTTGTGTTTTCTTTAATTTTACATTTGATTTTTATCCTGTTTTACAATGTGGAACGACGTAAATCTTGCTTTGATGTTTTTTGTCACTCATGTTACTTGTACTCAGGTACTTTTTTTCACATTATTTTGATTCTTGTCACCAATTTTTTAAAAAATCACTTAATTTTACTTTGAATTAGATAGAAAATTGACTCCGCTGTCATATGCCAACTACAGTTAATTTCGCGAACTTTATAAAAAGAAGGACGGAAATTAGAAATTTGACCATTGCCGATTCGCCTCCTTCTCTCTAGTCTTCATACACATACCTTATATGAATATACTTTTGTACAATAATCGTTCACCGTTTAAGCTTCTGGTGAACCTTTGCAATATTGGTACCTTATACTATTTAGCTAATTTTGTCCAATCGTTCAGTGCTTGCGTGTAATTGCATTTGTGATATACCTACCTCTACTTTTGTGATATTATTACTTGATTTCAAGAACATTTTAATAATAAATTCACATAAATATTTTTTTTTTAATTTTCATGTCTTAATTGAGATTTTATTATAACCTCAATTTCAGCTTCTTTGTATTACATTACTCAAAGAACAATAAAATTTGTAAAAATATTTATTTTAAATTTATTTAACAAGCATAATCAATTATGAAGAATTACTTTTTTATTTTAAAATAAATATTTTCACAAGTATAGTTAAGTTCATCCGTGGACACACTTTATAATGCTGTAGAACTGATTCACATTATAACATCAATAGAACGTGTCAGAGTACTTTCGGGGTAAGTACCGTAAAAGTGCTAGTGTGATGTTTTTCGAACTTTACTTTATAACCTCTGTGAGATGTGCTATAAAAGTCTTGCCGTTGCGGACATTCGGCGGTTGCAGGGATATTAGGGTTACATTAAAAATACTTTGCATGCGAGCTTAAAGAGTATACAATTGCAGCTTATTAACGTAGATGGGATGTTTTTGTGCTAGTTGGGAGTTCATATTTAATGACCGGGCTACTATTATTTTTTTAAACTTTTAAATAAATGACAATTCCGTCAAACTAACTGTCAGTATATTTTTTAGTTATTGAGATTAAATATAATTAAAAATAAGTGAGATTTATGAAGAATCAATAAATAATAACATTCCAAAAGATATTCGTCTCTATTTACAAATAATGAATCTTAAATTTTAATAAATCTAAGTTGTAAATAATTTTTAAAATAGGTATTTTATCCTAAAGGTATTCTATTATTTAAAAAATTTATAGATATTCGTTAGTGGGTCGTAGAAATAATATACTATACATCTCGAGTGGATTGTCTATATTGTACTGAGACGATTGTGCACTCCGCCTACGGCGTCGTGCCCAAATTTCGTCTTCGTTCGGTATGGTAATCATATCCACTCTTGTTACACAAACTACTATTCTAAAGTACATTTTAAGTCGCATAATATGTACTATTAAAATGTACTGTGCAACTTTACACTATACAGTTGGCAACATCTCAAATTGGCCTTACATCCTCTCGGCAGTGGTTTTACTTATACATATTTACACCCTATCCTCTTTGAAAAACCTTAACGAGCCGTCTCTGGGTTTATCCAATACTTCGTTAAATAAGTTTGACATTATATTTTTCGATAAAACAAATAGGAAGTATAGCAACTTCTGGTAATATTAGAGTAAAAATAAAAGTATGTACACGTAAATACGAAAAAATGTACTGTTTAATTCGCTGCTGTATTAAAATATACCTATGTTAGTCCTTAGTTTCATTATTATGATATTTCTGATTTATCTAGTCTAAAAGATTTCACTAAATTAATTTGTGTGTGCTCCGCTCTTCCCCAAAATGGGCGAAAGCTTGCAAAGAGCAATGTTCGGACAGAGTCGTACGATAACCGTTTACTGTCGGGCCTAAAAATAAATAAATGGCCATGAAGTCACAGTTTTTGAGGTTGTGTAGTATTAAAAGCAGACTTTATTGACGGGCTGCTGACATACCAGCTGCGGTTTCACTCTCAAAACGTTAGAAAATGAACAGTTTGCAAAGTGTACAATATCAAGTTTGTTTTAAAACATCCCTTTTTTGCTTCGAAGTTGAATAGATACCTCGATGTAAGTAAAACCATTTAGAAATTAATAATATTTGTGCTCATATTATACAGCTTGTTTCATGGATTTATATATGAAAATACTTTTAACTTTTACTTTTTATCGCTTCTTACTGTGTACATAGTCCAACAGCTGAGTGCAAATTATATTATTGAATTAGAAATGTACGAAATTTATCTGTAAATTTTCTTTTGATAGAGGAGAAAGTTGTACGACCGTAATATTTATTTTTTCTTGTAATATTAGTGATGGGGCCTATTTATTTATCACTTATTTTCCAAAAAGCATGTCTTGATATTAGGATCGTCCCTTCTGCATGCAAAGGATTATTTTTGTCCTTTTTTTGCCGTTGAGCAAATTCCTGGTAATGAAACGAGCGTTTTAAATTCCAGTAAATCCGGTTCAAGTCAAAAATAAATCATAACGGTCGCGGGTCGTACGTATCGAATTTTATTTAAGGATAAACAATACATATATATACCTACAATTTCTTACTAAAATTCGAACAAAAACAAACGTGATTTTCAAACAATTAAGTTTGTAAATGTAGGTTTTATTGTGTAGTGTTGTTGCCAATTTGGAATTTCGGAAATACTAGGTAATTTTAAAAACACATTAGGTAGATTTTATTTATTTTTGTACAAATTCTTCTAATTTTTTTAGAACAATTATCATTAATAGCGGCAATAATCTTTATAAACATCTACCGTATTTATGTTTAAAAGTGAGTTGATAATATATTTCACAGAAACTATCTACTAGGTATATTATTACTATTAGGTATATTATTTATTATATTATATGCTAGAATTATTTATATTGTAGTGAGTAAAATATTAGGTCATTATCTAGTCTGGGCTCTTTTCGCATACCTATGAAAAAACTAAGCAGACTTGTAGGTATCACTATTGTAAACAAATAGGTAATCTTAGTTCCATAGGTATCTTGAGCAAATTAATAATAAAGACACAATAAATAATTTTTTTAAATAAAAATATTTTACAATTTGTCTCAAATCAAAACTCGAAGATTCCACTTACGTTGTTGCCAAGTCGCACAAAAAGTTTGCTATCCAACAATTTATTATCAAAAGTACAAGAATATATTTCTAATAATTTTCCTTGCCCTAACAATATTTTATAATATAACTATTTACGTGGTTTTACCCACCCACCCTTTCCCATAAAATTTACGAAAATTTATGTTAATTGAAAAGAATGTTTATTTAAAAATAGTACCTAGTTTGTGCAACAAGAGTGGATATGATGGCCATATGGCATGAACACGAAATTTGAACACGACGAGGGCCCAATCGTCTGAGTGCGATGTGGACAATCCACTCGAGTTGTACAGTATATTTTTTCTACGATTCCCTAAAGAAAATTTACAAATAAAAAAAATTATTTTAGGTTATTAAGACAAAATAACTAATTTTAAAATGATGACTTTTAATAAATTTTAAAATATAATAAACGAAAAAAAAGATTTAATCCAAAAGTTCCCCAGCCGAGGCTTGAACTTGCGTTTCTCGCGTGGAAGGCAGATACTCTCACCACCCATCCACCGGCAGTTTTGGGAATTTTTTTAATACTCGTACTAGAATTGACTACATAGAGTTTTATTAAAATTAACAAATTATTTATAATTATAGTATAAATAAAAATATAAATGCCATTATTTATTGATTCTACACAAAAATAAGTCATTTTACTGAATATTTAAGTTCAATAACTAAAAAATATACTGACAATTAGTTTGACAGAATTGTCACTTATTTAAAATTTTAAAAATAAAATGCTGCGTTTGAGAATCCACATCGGATGCATTTTTTACATCTCGAGCGTTTTTTATCCACATCGGACACATCTATCCCATTACATTTATCACGTGATCAAAGATTTACTACATCTCAGATGCATCCGATGTGGATTCTCAAACGCGGCAATAGTCGTCGGGTGACCAAACTATGAACTGTGATTGGAGGAATTTCATTTTTTTCAGTGTTCTCACTACATAGAATGGATATAAACTATATTCGTTCAGTTAAATGCAATAGTGTACTTTTTCGTTTTGTAGTCTGCGTAGATAAGCTAATATCCATGTGGATGTAGAAAAAAATATTTTTGTCCTTAATATTCATTTGCATAAGATATGGAACTTGGGTTTTTTTGTTTACAATAGTAATACCTACAAGTAAAAGGTAGGGTCATGGCACTACTTATGGCCACATTAATGCAAAAATGCTTTTATGAGGTCCATTTTTCAATAATATTATAACAAAAATACTGTTTGATAGGTTGAAGTATGTAGTTTTGGTTGAGAGCATGTAAGTCTTTTTTACATTTTTTTTTTATGAAAGTGGAAGAAATTCTTTACTTTTGGCCATCAGTCCGCCACTAGTTATTTACTTATGGCCACTAATTTTTAAAAATTTTGATAAAATATGAAATTTATTTTTCATGAAAATTAACACTTCCTGAAAATGTTATAACCAATTTTCAACCTTGTTCTACCAAAGAATGTTCGGTTAACAGTCCTCAAGTATCAGATATGAGAACAGTGAAACTCTCATTTTTAATATACTGCTTTTCTAAGTCAAAATTGACTTGGTTTATTACTTGCAAACCATGTTATCACATGCTCATTTACCTCCTCTAACCACCCTTTTTTGTTTATATTGTTGCTAAACCTTTATTTTCAGATCTTAAAGCAAGAGGTGGCCATAAGTAGGGTAGTGGCCATAAGTAGTGCCATGACCCTACTTAATTTTTGTGTAATCTACAGGAGTTCAAACTAGATATTTACTGAATATTATTTAGGTACCTTATCTTAATTTTGACCCACTTTTTAGTTATCATTATCATAGTAGGTATTAAAGAAAATATAGTTTTTTTTTTTTTTCAGAATTATCTGCACATTTAACGTAAAAAATTATTTGTTTTCAAAAATATAATATGCTGAATCGCAAAATTTGATTTTCGCCCCCAAATTTCTTATTCCTCGTTTTTTAACTTTTTAAATATAGATTAATTTTATATCAAATTTTCGCTACATATAATTAAACAGTATTAGTTGAAATTATTTTGATTTAAATTTCTGTTATCGTAATTTTTCTGCAAAACCTCGTGACTGATTTTTAGTTTGGTGGGAGACACTTTTGTTCTAATCGCAGTATCGGCACTTCAAACCTCGACCACTACAATTTAATAAATAGGGAAAGTACCAAGGATGACACATCGTTGACAAGGTATATATATGAAAACATTGCATGCTTCATTAAAAGATTCAATTAGGCATTCCAAACTGAATGCCTACCAGTGGGCTTTGACGGGTTATGATATTGCAAAATTATGGCAACCCTGTAGACCTGGTGATTTGACAAGGTCAATGAAATAGATAGTTACATAGATTGATTATCCATATTTTTCAAAATAAACATAAGCGTATGCCTTGAAGTAAAAATGTAAGCAATTATTTTTTTTAAATATCTAAAGGCTAAAAATTGGTTTTAAAACACATTTTTGCTAAACCGGTTCAAATTAATAAATATTTGCCAGGCAATATGGCCGCTCGTAAACGACCAGCTTTGAGCAATCTATATAACTAGTGATGTATCATTGACCCTGTTAATGACAACACGACAACAGGGTTGCCATATCTAAACTGTCATTACCCACTGGTAGCCATTTGGACAGGTCGTTGGAATGCCTAATTAATTGCCAGAGTAACATATCAATGACGAAACGTCAATGTGAAGTTTGTCAAAAAGGTGACGAAAAATGGTTGTTGAAATATACATTTTAAATACAGAATCGACTTCATCTTACGGAAACAAAGCAAATGTTGTTTGTAAAAGTTCCGGTTATATTGTTAAATAATCTGCCCAAACATCACGCGAAGTGAGAATTTTTTTTAAAGATTTTTTTGTTTCCTTACAAATTATGGAAATTTCCAAAGAAACAATAAAATGTTCTCTAAAAATTTCTCGCCTCTTGTGGTATTTATTACCCTTGCTAATTCAGCAATAAGACTATTCATTCAGTCACTTTTGATTTTGGTGCTATCTAACTATTACGTATTGTAAAGTATGACATCTCGTTTGAAAGTTAATAGTATTACTAATTCAATGAACCACATAGCATTAATCTAAATATTTCCATATTACACTTGCAACAAAATAAAGTTAGCAGCAATAATGCCAGGATACACAGACTAATGGTATGCTCCTGCGCATACAGCTGACTGGCGGTGACGTCACGTGGGACATAGAATTATTAGCATTAAATGGGAGATAGTGTTTGAAATTCGATATTTCGCCGGTTTTAGATTTTATGCAGTTACTTAAGCTTTATTGGTTATTTTGTAGTATTATATTCGTTTACAAATATGAAGGTTTAAGGTAAATAATACTAATAAAATATTAATTTTTCTCATAAATTATAGGTATTTTGTGACAAAATCCATAACCTGGCCATAAGATAAATAAAAAATATAGATTAAATTTGACTCAAATTTGAACTTTCTGGGCGAGGTAGTTCTTTGGAAATCCCTTTTCTTATTATGTGTGCAGAAGCAAATTATTTATTTATAAAGAGTAAGTACACAAAAATTTACTTTTTATTTGGTAAATTTAAATATTTTTTGTCAAATTTAATTTTAAAATACTCAAAACCAATTTTTCTGTTCATGTATCTTACTCTTATATGTTCGTGTCCTGCTCATGCATAGTATTACTTCAAAAGGGGCCGTTGCATTGGGACAGGAAACTACTGTTTTATTTGCTAAAATTTTAAAATATCTATTTTCTTTGTTTAATAAGGCCTCATTCACCTGGTTGAATTCGGTTTCCTTTTCTTGCGCCCATGTTTACTACTTTCCTGAAAGTGGATAGGACAACTTCATGCTAAAATAAAAAATATTTATATATTTTTTATTTTAGCAACTCTAAACCTATTATACTTATGCATTTTACTAACCATTGTTTAAATTAAGTTTATCCTTTC